CAAGGTGTAATAAAATTGATAGCATTTTTCTGTTGTTAACAATTTCTATTACTGTTCTTAGAAAATTTGTAGAAAAATCATCAAAGGTCCAAATCAGAATCCGTAAATTCTGAGAGTTTGGGAAATGAGTCTAGTTTGTTCATAAATTTTATTATGATTTTTAATGACCTCCAACTTGTGTGAAAAAGTCCATAATCACAGACTGGTCCGGATTGATGTTTGAAATGATAGGCAGTTTTGTAAAAATCACCATAAATTGTAGAAAAATCTTATGGTGATGTGCAAGTACCCATTTTAAAGCTAAGAACTTGAACTACTTGCACCTTGTACAGTTTTGAAAATAAAAATGTTTAAGTTGACCAAAACAGTCCGTGAATGGAGTCCAACTTTTCTGATGAAAGCTGTTAGAAGAATTTAGTTGTGTTCTTGGTGTTTTAACTTGTATTCCCCCCCTTAAAACGTAAGAAAACATGAAAATGTAGGGGTATGAACTCACCTTAAGTGATTTCAGTAGATGAATGTTGGAGATGAGAAGTGTTCAACTCAAGAACACTTGAAGATGCCTGAAGATTTTCGAGAATCTAACACAAAGTGATGGAATTTGTGTAAGCAATCTATGATTGTAGTAGAATGAAGTGTAATTATCACAAAAAGGATGAATTATACTTACCAAGAGTGTAAGAAGGCTTGATGATCAGCCTTGAAATCCCGAAATTGAGGGAGAAAGTTAGAGAGAAAAGTTGAGTTTGATCTTTGGTGAAATGAGAGCAAGTGAGTGAGAATGAGGAGAGAGGATGAGTGTCCAGCTCTAAGAACGTGGGAATAACTTGTGAGAGAGGGAAAAAGTACAAGGAAGTGACAAGGTATGGTGGGGAGGTGTGGCTGGTCATAGAGTGGGTGTGGGTGGTTGCTTGTGTCATAAACTAAAGGAAAGTCAACACTCCACCTCTTGTACTTCACCCACTAAATCTTGGAGAAGATTTATCCCCAAAAACGGGGGAAATTAGTAGATATGGGTCCCTAAATGTTAAAATAAAGTTTCAGGTGAAAATCCCGCGTTAAAACGATGAAAAACGAAGCTAAAATGAAGTTGTAGTCGAAAACCGGGAAGAAAAGGCTTTTCTGCGAGACCTCTCGGTCCTGGCCGAGGTTCGGTCCTTGATGCTGCTGGGCCCGAAGGCGAAGGTAGGCTAGGAAGCGAAATGGGGCGAAGGCGAAATGGACCGAAAGGTAGCTTCGGTTCTTCATGCGAGGTTCAGGCCCGAAAGGGAGGTTCGGTTCCCGGGGCTTCGGGTTCGGTCTTCTAGCTTTCGGTTCAGTAGGGTTTGGTCCCTAAGAGGACTTTCGGCCCTAAGAGGCTTCGACCCTATAAGGTAGGTTTCGGGTCCTTAAGGGTATTTTACCCGTTTTTACCCGTTTTTAAGCGGTTTTTGACCCGGTTAAGGGTCGGGATGACCCGAAAGACTATAAAAAGTTAAGAGAGATTTTTGAGAGAGATTTCACATTCTTGGAGAGATTTGGGGGAGATTTGACATTCTTGGAGAGATTTCTCATACAGAGAGAGATTTGGGAGAGATTTCTTTTGTGACCTTTTTGAGTGTTTGGCTTCGCAACACAAGGTTCTTACACTATGTTAAGCCTTGTTCTAGTGTCGTACACATTCCCGATGAGTGTGCAATGGTGTGTTATCGTTTTGGTTCAATGTTTAGCATTATTAAGGCTACGGAAATTCGAACACACGGATTTTCCAAATGATGTTTTCTCATTAAAATAGTGCATTGAATAGTAATTACCTAACGTGAACCCTAATATACAAGGGTTAATTTAGTTGATCGGTTTGACTTGTTGACTTTGACTTGACCAGAATTTGACGGTTGTCACAAGGCACCCTCTGAAGAAGTGGGTGTGTCATGTGCTGAGGGATCATGTGGCATAGATGAGTCTTGAGCCTCTATATCTTCATTAAAAGGATCAATATGCAGAAGATCAGACTTTGTTACATTGTGGGCTGTAGCAGGAATCGAGTAGAAAGGAATATGTTCTAAAAAAGTAACGTGCCTAGAAACATATAACTTCTGACTCACAGGATCATAGCAACGGTATCCTTTCTGACCAATCCCATACCCCAAAAATACACAAATAGTAGATTTCGGCCCCAGCTTGTTCCTTTCAACATGAGGACGAAGAACAAAACAAGTACATCCAAAAACTCGTAAGGAAGAGTAGTCTGGTGGATGACCATATAACTTCTCAAAAGGAGATATTCCTGAATTCAATGAAGTAGGGATACGATTAATCACATACACAGCAGTTAGGACTGCTTCTCCCCAAAAGGCACTAGGAACCTGTGCAGACAGGAGCAATGAGCGGGCAGTCTCAACAATACCGTTTTGCTGAGGTGTGTCAGTACACGAAGACTGGTGTATGGTACCATCAGAAGCAAGTAACTAAGTGAAATCATTAGAGGTATATTCACCCCCTAAGTCACACCTGAAGCACTTAATCACAGCCGAATGTTGAGTTTTAACAAGAGCTCTAAAATTGCTGTAAATACCAAAGAAATCAGATCTGCGTTTCATAAGATAAACCCATGTATATCGAGTATAATCATCTATAAAAGATACATAATAGGTTGACCCACCCTTTGTGGATACTGGTGCAGGACCCCACACATCAGAATGAATAATATCAAAAGGAGCAGTAGAACAAGACATACTTTTATTGAAGGGTAAAGCAGAAAATTTTGCTAGTTTGCAACCACTACTGTCTGAAGCTCTCAAACACCTTGGGATCCAATGCAGATGGTGGCATATGTCCAACAGATTCTGTGTCAACTGGTGGAACAGCAGCAACAGCAAATTGTGGAGGACGAAGGGTCCATGTAGGAGTACCAGAGGAACGCGACTGATACTTCTGTTGACCAGATCTATTTTGTTGCCCTGACTGAGGTTGACCAGATTTACCCTTGTTGACTAACAATGGACACTGAGCTTTCCAATGATTCTTCTGTTTGCAGAATGCACACTCATCATAAGCGACTCTTGAAGTTTGTCGAGATTGACTGGAGGAGACAGCAAACACAGCAGGAGCGGGAGTAGGAGTAGAGGTTGCTTTAAACCCTTTATCTGCATGGGACTTGATACGAGTCTCTTCTGCAATTAACTCATGGACAACTGAATCAACTGAAGGAAGAGGAGAGCGATGAAGAATTGTTCCACGAAGACCTTCAAAATCAGAACGCAAGGCCATCAAGAACTGAACCAAGCGTTGTTCTTCCCTCCTAGCAATGTAAGGCTCAAAATCTTTTAACTCTTTAGATTCAGTATGACCCAATTGATCCCAGAGATCAGACATAGCAGCATAGAAATCTTGAATGCTCTGGTCATTCTGTTGAAGGGCACGAATATCATATTCCAATTGGTATTGTTTAGCAAAATTGGACTGAGTATACAGTCTCTCCAAGTGATTCCAAACTTCCTTTGTTGTATCATACTTAGCCAACTACATACCAATGGACTGAGTAACAGAGTTATTGATCCAAGTAATAACCTTGGAGTTATCAGTCTCCCAAGCATCAAGCAACATATCATAATTCTCAGTTTGAGGCACTGAGGGTTTGGCTTTAGTCCCAGTTACATAGCCCCACATATTCTTCCCACGAAGGAAGTTCTTCATAACGTAACTCCAATACGTATAATTCTTTCCATCCAAACGAGTACTGATTGACTGAAGGGAATCATCCTTTCCAGTCATGTTGATAGTGAATGAATAACCACAATGACAATATAATAATCTGAGAGTGAAAGGAGTAACAAACCAGCGGAAGCAATCACTTGAATAACGAATCAACAACAATTATGAACCAACAGCAGCAACGAACCGACAGTAGCAACGAACCGACAGCAGCAACGAACCGACAGCAGCAACGAATCAACAGTAGCAACGAATCAACACATCAAAAAAAAAACGAATACCAGTGATAATGAACGAAAACGGCATGCGACAGCAGCAACGAATCAAACCTCTACTCTGATACCATGATAACATTGTCATATGATTATATCAAAGAGAAATTACAAGGGTTCTCAGAGAAAAGCATTAAAACTACAAGGAATAAAACGGATATAAATACTAGCTAGACAGAAACCCTAATGGGCTAAAGACAAAAAGGGCCCATAAACAAGCGGGCTAATAATATAGACTACCAATACACATTGGAATAACTCGGTTCCTATTAAAGTTAATTGTTTGGGGTTGCAAATTGTTCTTTATCGTCTACATACAAAAGTTTATTTAGATGTTCACTCAAATTTTTGCCATTGACGTGATGATAGAGAGGACAACGCGAATCATCTTTTTGCAACTTGCCTTGTGGCATTTGATATTTGGTATAAGATTGGTACGTTAGTGGATTGTTAATTTACTGAATTTCCACACGATTCCGCACTGGTTGCGATACTGGGATCTTTTGGGATTTCAAATTCATATGAAGAAGCCATTTAATGCAATTGTTTTGACGAGCTTTTGGTCAGTTTAAATTTTTTGTAATTTGTGCTTTTATAATGCGACCAAACCCTAGCAATATTTTGAATATGTGAAAGTTTGAATAATCAACGACATTAGATGAATTCAAGTCGTCAGTCGTTCGTTCCCACAGCCAAAGACAGTCAGCATGAAATGAAAAAATATGTTCTACCACATGAGTTAAACAACCCACCAAAATAAATATTATTTTAAGCCGACACATTCCGTCCACTTGTATGAGAAAACGAAAACTCCCTCCTCCGTTTCTAGATCTCAATTCTATTGCTATATGATATTCCACGGTTTCCACCCTCAAATGGCTGGGTATTGTTGACCAGGTAAGGTCAAAATGAAGACTATAAATTTCTATGGATTATATTTTTTTTATGGATTTTGAAAAGACGAAAACGCCCTCCTCTGGCTTCTAGATCTCAATTCCAATGCTATATATATGATATCCCACCCCAAAACATGTATATCATTGACAAAGAAAGGTCAAAATGAAGAGTATTCATTCAAAAAGTCAACTACTGGGGATTGTTTCTGTGTTTGCTATGTTCATCTTATCCAATGGGAGAACCATCAACTCAAACAATGAGTTGATCAGAGCCGTTAATCTTGGAGGCTGGCTCGTTGCTGAAGGCTGGATGAAACCTTCTCTCTTTGATTCCATCCCAAACAAAGATTTCTTGGTTTGTTTTCATTTAATTTTCTGTAATTTACGTTGGTGTAACTTGTTCAAACACAATCAAAACTGATACACTGTTAATTATTCATGAATAATCATCACACTAGGATGGAGTTGCACTTCAGTTTAAATCAGTCACAATCGGGAAATTCCTTGCTGCAGAACTCGGCGGTGGTTCAATCATCGTCGCCAACCGTACATCTGCTTCCGGATGGGAAACTTTTCGGGTAATTTCATTTGATATTTCAGTGACAGAAAGTTTGTTATGTAATAGCGATGATATTCAAGTTGTTTATTTTGTTCATTGCCACATTGGTGAAGTTATGGAGGATCAATGAGACCAGTTTTCACGTAAGAGTGTTCAGCAAACAGTTTCTAGAAATTGAATCGATGGGAACCAAAGTGGTCGCTACTTCTACAGATTCTGAAACATCCGGGATTTTCCAGATTATTAGAAAATCTGATGATCCAAGTCGTGTTCGGATCAAAGCACCAAATGGGTTGTTCTTGCAGGTTCTTTAACTTATGTTGTTACTATCTTTTTGTTTTAAACGATGATTCTTACAAGAATAAGTTGGTTGATTCTGATTTTTGTTGTGTGGTTAAAGGCAAAAACAGAAGACCTTGTTACAGCTGATTCAAATGGAAATGGACAATGGGGAAATAGTGATCCTTCGGTTTTTGAAATGACGATTGGACAAAGATTTCAAGGAGAGTATCAAGTTACTAATGGTTATGGTCCTTTGAACGCACCACAAATCATGAAAGTAAGATTCTATTGGTTTATACCAACTTTTTACTTTTTTAGCTTTATCCGAAAGAATTAATATATCAAAAGAAGTCGTTAAGTGATGCACAATAATATTCAAAGTCAGAATATTATTATAATAAGTTTAAAGTTTTAACGGTTTTGACTTGTCAATGTCACTTTAGTCAAAGTTTCTAAAACGTGCAAAATCCTAACATAATATAATTTAATTAAACCTAAACTATGCATGATATTACGTTTTTTTCAGGATCATTGGGACACATTCATTGAGGAAAAAGACTTTAGTTTCATCGCTGAGAGCAGATTAAACGCTGTGAGGATTCCGGTAGGGTGGTGGACAGCCAAAGATCCAACACCGCCAAAACCTTACGTAGGAGGATCGTTAGAAGTCCTTGATAGGGCCTTCTTATGGGCAAAGTATGTGATCATATGTTCGTTTTTTAAGTTGATATTTAAATCATAGAATGAAAATTTGTCTAATAATATTTCGTATATTCTATTATTTTTGTGCATAGGAAATATAATTTGAAGGTGATTTTGGATCTACATGCTGCGCCAGGGTCCCAAAATGGTTTTGAGCATAGCTCTACTCGTGATGGTTCTGTTGAATGGGGCCAAACCGATGAATCCATAGAAGAATCAGTTCGCGTCATAGAGTTCTATACTGCTAGGTATGTGCAAAAGATATAAATGTTTCCTTTCATCCTTAACATATAAAATGACTATATATAGACAATTTGTCTAGCATACTCTTTTCTTTTCTTATCTAGTTATGTTTCGGTGTAACAAACACAACTTTAGACACTAAAATATAGCAAATCTAATTGATATATTGTTTTCTCGATAGGTATGCGACAAATCCAAGTTTATATGCAGTTGAGCTCATAAACGAGCCTAATGCATTTGGAGTCTCGCTAAGCGTGTTGACAAAGTTTTACAGTGATGCATATACAGTGTTCGAAGGCATGCTCCCAATGCTTTTGTAATTCTATCGAACCGGCTTAGTGGAGAACCAAAAGAGCTTTTTCCTCTTGCAAGCGGCATGAAGGACGTGGTCATTGATGTTCATTACTACAATCTTTTTTGGGATATTTTCAATGACATGACTATCGACCAAAACATTGATTTTATCAAAACAAACCGTTCAAATGAGCTACAAGACATCACAACATCAAATGGACCACTAACTTTTGTTGGTATGTATCGAAAACTTTATCACGGATTATAAATTTAATGAAACGACAAACTAATTTGTGATCGTGTAGGGGAATGGGTGGCTGAGTGGCAAGTAAGAGGAGCTACTAAAGAGGAGTATCAACGATTTTCAGAAGCTCAACTACAAGTGTGGGGGAAAGCTAGCTTCGGATGGGCTTATTGGTCGCTAAGAAACATCAACAACCATTGGAGCATGGATTGGATGATCAAAAATGGCTATATTAACCTTTAGAAGCGCTCGGAATTGTTCTTTTATCGTTCAACATTTTAGTTCTCAATTATTGCAATAAACAATATGATAAAAAAATATATTTTGTTATTATTTTGGGAATGAGCCAAATAAATTAATCATTAGCTATAAGTTGAGACATAAACGTAGAGTGGGCAATGTTTGGAAATATTTGTTGTACTTTTTTAGACCTATCTGTACATGTAAGACTCTACAAAAATAACATGTAACAATGGTTGAACATTCTTATAATATTTTTTGCAGCTTCTTATAATTACACTATCAGTGCACATGTTGTTTATCATGAAATTACTAAAGTTGTTTATATAAATCAACATTCTAAAAAGAATCAACATTCTGGAAATAATCATCGAATTTACAGAAAACATACTATCTAGAATTGTTATTATTCAATTCATAAGAATGTGTCATTTAAAGCCATGTTTTCATGATTGTTCACTATACTGTGTGCTTAAATTGCTACTACACATACTAACAACACTTGCATTCAAACACAAATAATGGCTATTCAATAAAAAAGAAATTCCATTATTATTCAAAAAAAAAAATTTGACAGCACCTCTAAAAAAAATCCTAAATAGCATGACAACTTTCTTAACCCATTGATAAAAATAAGAGCTTTTTTTCCATTTTTTTCAGCATTCCATCTAAACGATTTATAAATGTATTTTCGGTCATTTTTTATGAAAAATATTGTATAGAAAAACGTTGATATCGTTATGTTTGTGGTTTTTCATTTGTTATTGTGTATAGTTATTTTTGTTAGGGTATTAATTTGATATTTTTGGCTTGTTCGTTATATCAACGAAAGAGGTAAAGTGGAATGGATATTTATGGGTTGGATAGACATCATATCTATATTTTCTTATTTTTTTGTTACATACGAAAAGTGTCTCAGTCCTAGCCCTAGTGTGGCTGATCATCCGAAAAGACCAGCTAAATATCTTTGGCTTGGTGAACATTTACCTGACCAAACTACCTGATACTATTTTAGAGGAGTGACATTTAAAACACTTCAAAGGAGAAAATTGCAAGAAAAAATAAGAATATATGGATCCGATGCCCATCAAACCCCTTAAACCCATAGCCGTTTTAACCTTCTTTCTTTTCTATTACAATGATTTTTTTTTCCTTCACTCCACTAATATTTTAATTGTCATCGTACAATGAGTGAGATGGCAAACGGGCAACAAGCTGTGCCGCTAAGCCTTTTTGAATGGTAAAGCTAATCCTTTTAAAGACTACATCCGAAGATCTAGGGGATATAACATTACTATGCATGATTCATTGTACTCTTTTAAGAAGCTCTACCGCATCCGGTGCGAGGAAACCAAACGTATCAAATGCAAATGGTATGAACACGTGTTGATTTTCCATGCACGATTTCTCATGTTTGGTGACTTTGCCTGTAGCTGCTTTTAAAGCAGCATGTCCCGCCGTGAAACCCCCAACCCTCAGGCCCATGAGAGGGGATACCCCTGTAAGATCCACACATGCGTGTTTCCCTCCTCCCCATCCAAAAATCAAAATGTCAGCCGGTCTGAGGGTTGACCTTCCTTCTGTCGGGTCAGTCAAGAAATTAACAGGTGCTTCTTTCTTAGCGGAAACCCCGGCACGCTTAAATATGTTAAACAAAACATCCCTAACCATATAGTGCCTGTATTTCAACCCCGAGAGTTCTTTACAGTGAACTGCATGCTCTCCAAAAGAGTCCAAACATGCCTTGCGACACACATGACATATATCGTCAGCTGGGAATATGGGAATCATGAGTCGATATTTGAGAATAGTACGATACTCCACGGGAGACATGTGTTGGCCAAGCCCATCTATAGGGATAGCTAGAAGAAAATCTTGAGCATGTGGTGCACGTAAGCACTGGAAAACCACTTTCTGCCGAGCCGTCATGTCGAGATGCACTTCCATATCTTGGACAATTTTACGAAAAAGGGCACTCGCCAGTGTATTCTGGGATTTAGGGGGGGGGGGTGTCTTTAGTAGTAAAATTGTTAAGGTCAAAATCTGGAAGCTTGTTGCGAAGGGATGCCAAGGCACAGTCATAATCAGAATCCATACCATGTATACCGCTATCCCGTAAGATGTGGTCTTGCAATACCCAAGATTGGGCCCTTGAGGCAACAAAAGCATAGGAGGTAGCCTCTACTGCCGAGTATAAACCCAAACCCCCAAACCTAATAGGTAAGGAAGCAATTCGCCATTATATGTCACCAAAGAAAGGGCCCCCACAAACCACAATGTCCTCAATCTCCCCGCGCAATCCATTGTCAAAGAATATTGCCGCCTCCTCCATGTGAACGGGTTGGCACGTCCTCAACCCAAAGAAAAGCTTAGCAATACCCATACAAGACCGAAGAAGAAGGAGCTCACTCTGGGGGTCAGACAATTGTTGAAGAAGGTGCATCAAATTCACAGTGTTTTTGGCTCTCTTTATGGCTAAGCTGCGAATGAAACTAGCATCTCTACTAACAGCTCCCCCAAGAAGTTTCACCCCCAAAGGCGGCCTCCTGATGTCCGCCGGAAATAGCCCCTCCCGTAACTTCCTACCATCACATGAGGGCCAAAAGAGCTCGTTTCTTGATATTCAGCTGAAGGCCCAATTTTGGGCCAATCACCGTAATGATGTCCAAATGCTTTGGCCACCTCCTCCGAATCTCCGATAAGTGTGTCATCATCCAAGTACCATGCATGGAGGAGAAGCTTGCAATTGTCTCTAATCTTATGCAAGAGCGGGTGCAACACAATGGCAAAGAGAAGTGGTCCCAAGGGGTCTCCTTGCTGAACCCCAATAGAAGACCGAATGTGTGTGTTGCCTAGATATAACCTTGCTGCTTGACCATATAGGAATTCTACCCACAAGGAAATAGAGGGACACCTCAATCTGACCTCATGAAGTAATACGGATCTGTCAATAAGGTTAAAGGCATTAGAGAAGTCCACGGTAAGCATGGAGAGAGATTTGTCATCGTGGCGCTCACTCAACAACCTATTGGCGCTATGTAAAACGGCCTCAGCGCCACCCGACACCCCGACTCTGAACTGAAAATCATTGAGATATTTGGCCATTTCTTTACCAACCCCCTTCATGGCCAACTTGGAAACCAAACGTCTCCATATAGTACCTACTGCAATAGGTCGTATTCCCTTGTCAGGTTTTAAGAGCGGCGTGAGAGGAGCAGAGGCAACAAATTCTGCCAAGCTCGAAGGGCATCTTCCCCCTAGCCATAGATTAACCACAGAAGTAATAGCACGTAGGAGGTCTTTGGCTATAGTTGAACCTTCTCCACAAAGGGCATCTAAAATGTGTTGAGCTCTCAACCCGTCCCTCCCACACGAGGTACCTTTAGGGAAGGATTTAATTCCCCCAAGGACATTGTCAACATCCACTACCAGGGGAGGTTCTGAAAATATGGTGTTAGGCATGGAAGGCGGTGGCTTGTATGGATGCTTATCCTCCAATGCCTTCGTGGTATCACCCCCAAATGGAGCAACCCCCGAAGAACATAAAACTTTCACTGCTGCTGTAAAATGTCCATCGGCAACCTTACGAAGACATTGTCTGACATTGGAGCTGCCCGGTGTTCTTTTCTCCTGAATGTACTCTTCTTTTTTATCTTGTTGCTCCAGTCTTGCATTGTCAACTAAGTTTTTAACTAGCTTGGCGATACCGTCTTCAGTCCCCCAAGTAGCTAAAGCGCTCAAGATATTACGATGTTGCAAAGACTTCCTGTTGCCAGACCTACTTTCTTGCCTATTCTTGGGCCTGAACACCTGAAGAGTACACCTAGGAAGAATTAACAAAGCAACCCACGCTTCAACGGATCCGGGATGAGCAACCACCTTGGAAAGGGCTGCTTTCAAAGCCTGAGAGAAAGCCATACGACAGTTATGAGGGATGCTTTTGACAGTGGTGATAGGCAGCTTAAAAACACGATCAAGTAGTTGAGCATCCATCACCAACCCATCATTGAGGTCGGCTTCCGGTTCATTGGGTATCGGCTTTGGAATGCCAGCAATATGCATGCTCATGTCATCAGCCCCATCAATAAACTTAATCAAGCCACCCGGGTGGTGACATGAACGACTCAGGGCATGAAGCTTCATGCAATCCCCACATATCCATTGACCAAACTCCTTCAAAGTTGCTGCCACAGACATAAACAATCCAATGTCAGAAGTAATAGCCTCCCGTAACACAACTCTGCGTTCAACTGTATGGAGGTGTAAGCTCTTGAGATGAGATATCATACGGGAAATCCCTTTACTTCCAACAATACCATTTGGGCAACTGTGAAACCCCCGAAAAGGAAACGGCCAACCCCCGCTCTCAAAGGAATGAGAGGACGCCATAAACCAACAAATAAAGATTATTTAAGCCTCAAGGTGAGACCCGAAATTAGAAGCACTAACCCAAAAGAAAAAGTGACACTCCAACAAAAGGCTGGAGTGTGCACAATGGAACCCACACCGGATAGAATCTCTACATCAGCTTGAGTCGAAAATTGGCAACAACACTTGAAAAACTCATTTAGGCATTTTATCAAACACTTGGCGTGCAGAAACCTAACTATATCAATTCTTTTATATACAACATTTTTCAGGAAAAAAAAACCGAAAAAACCTAAAATACCCTTATAAATCGTCTATAAGTAACATTAAAAAAACTCTTCATTTTGTTCACATTTAATCGTTTTCTTTTTTTGTACATCATATGACATCTAACTTGTTTAAGCTGTTCACATATTACTGTAAGGGGCAGGATCCCAGAATCAAACTCATTATCCTTAATATTTCTGAAGTCTTAGGATTCTTAAACATATCTCAGGATCCTTATTATTATCACTAATATTTTCTAACACTTATAATGGCTATATTCTTTTTTCTTTTTTCTTACATGTGCAGAATTAATCAACACAAAACTCATTCTCAACGGAGAATCACTTCAACCAAGCTTAAGACCCGGGAGTACCAAGTCAAACAACCTGTAAATACTTGTTTAAGGAGGATCCTGGAAATCTCGGACTTCTTGTTGTTTAGATTAGACTATAAAAAACACCTGTAAATCGCACACTATACACACGATTAGCTCTACTAATATACGTGTACTCGTATTATCTTCATCATCCCAGTAATCTCATATTGAAAT